TTCCTTGAACCAGACCAAGTGGATTACATGTTTTTTGGGTCGCTGAAACCGAATCAGAAACCTGTTTTGCCCTATCACGTCAGCATTTTTTTCTAACATCAAAAAACTGCTTGAAACTATGAAACCCAACAATATCAACCCTTAAACCATATAACACTATACTTTCATAACTCAATAACCTTGAGATCGATAACCTATTACTCTAAAACTCTTAACCTGAAAATCTATAACCTCAAAACTCATAAATCTCAAATCCCAATAAACTGCAAACACAAAATGAGCAAAAATAAAAACAAAGCACTTACAAGCTAAACTCAAACCTCAATCTAGAATAGTTTTAACTTCATAATTCTACACCTCCATCACTTAATAACCTCATAATTATAAACTTCATAACCCTGAAGTGTAACATAAGAAAATTGCATGTCACAGTATAACTCCGAATCATATAACTCATAACTCCATAACTCATATCCATATCATAACTCATAACTCCACATCCCCATAATTCCATACAACCTAATACCTGAAAACTCCATAATCCCAAAAGTCCATAATCATATACCCCAAAACCGTACAATCCTATAAGCCAGAAACTGTCACACAGAATTCATGTCTTAGGTGCAACTACATTTACTACAGTATTTTAGGGTTACAGGGTCATGAGGTTATAGGGTTACAAGTTTAAAGGTGATAGAGTTATAGAGATATGGTGCCGCGAAGTTTTAATTGTCCACCTCAAAGTATTTTTTTGTCGCATTTAAGAGTTGTAGGGTTACGGGGTTTGGGTTATAGGGTTATGAGGTTTTAAATTACTGGGGTTATAGGCTATTGGGGTTATAGAGTTATGGAATTTCAGGGTTACGGGACCTCAGAGTTATGGGGTTATGGTTATGAAGTGATGGATGTATAGAATTATAAAGTTCTCCGATATTGAGGTTTCAGTTATGCGTGCAAGTTTTTTTGTTTTTTTGCTCATTTTGTGTTTATTGGGATTTAAGATTTATGAGTTTTGCGGTTATAGATTATCAGGTTATGGGTTTTAGAGTTATTGGTTATCAATCTCAAGATTATTGAGTTATGAAAGTATAGGGTTATATGGTTTAAGGGTTGATATTGTTGGGTTTTATAGTTTCAAGCTGCTTTTTGAGGTTAGAAAAAAAACGCTGACGTTATGGGGCAAAACAGGTTTCGGATTCGGATTCAGCGACCCAAAAAACATATAATCTACTTGGTCTGGTTCAAGGAACCCTCCATATTTCTTTTTGTGGTCCTTTGTAATAAATGGTGTAATCATTAGAAAGGTATTTAAATATGAAATAAAAGTACTTATAGTTAGGGCTATTACAACTGAGCCACGGAACAAAGCCGTACGCATTATTTATTAAAAAGCAAAAAATTCAATTGTTTGCAATACACCACCGTAAATTCCAATGGATAGGAATTAATTCCGTAACATCCGCACGATAACAAAGTATACTAATGTGACTTAATCGTGAAAAGTTTTCTGAGGCAGAAACTCACGCATGTCTCTGTTGACCGCTTGGCACGCCATTGAATTCCGACTCTTTCTGATAGCCTTATTTATTTATAACACTCGTATATATTTTTTTATTGGTATACAAAACAAATATCAAGTAAACATGAAAGTGTAACAATAAATATGAAACAGTACGTGAGTAATGATCAAAATATAACCTGGAATTAGAGAGAGTCAAAATCAACTATCGTTTAAAAGACTGTCCATCTTTCATTGGAAAACGGTACCTTGAATTAAACATAACTTGATATTCAGGCACTCGACATCTTATTTTTATTTTTTCCACAACGAAGAATTTTTAAATACTTATACAGGCTGTTACAAATTCGCTTCTCACTACAGGGATCTCGGAAACGGTGAGAGGTGCGAAGTAGCTTAAATGGGGGCAAAGTTGCGTTATCAGGGGACCAACAATATGCCTCTAAAAAATCAAGGCTAACATGATTAGTTTTCGAAATATTTGAAAAAACCCGAAATTTTGGAAATCCGTTTTTGTTTAATTTCTGCCTTGTTTGAGGAGATATTGAAAAACGAAGAACAGTTTCTCATGGCCACTTTTTGCCCTCTATTGAATGGCATAGTCAATTTTTATATGTAACTTTTCGTCTCTCCAGGACCATCATCAACTTATTTTTTTTAAATAAGACCCTGGAAATTTTATTACATTTTTTGCAAGCCTTCATGACCCCCAACCCCCAATACTGTACTGCCTCAGCCCTAACCAAATTCAGACGTTTTGTCTTGAAAAATTTATCTTCAATGTATTTATTCCAAATTTATCTAAATTTGTTTATTGAATTATCGTACACTGTAAGTGTCGTTAAACCCTGTGAAATCCCTCTAGTTATTTAAACTATTACCAGCACGTGCTACAATAGAACATTTATTAATACCATCACTTAGTCATATGAACAACCAAAACGCCAACTGAATATTATTCTTTAAAAAATTTCAGTAAATGTTCAAAAACATTTGCGTTTTAGCAAAGGTTCAAATGAAGATCAGCATAATATTATCCGAATTTATTACATATGTAACTGCAACTGTGAAAGAGCATGTCAGATGTATTTGTATGAATATCCTGAAAAAAAATAGATCGGAATTTGTTTGAATTTTGAGCACTCGAGAAGCGTAGAAATAACTATAGACACGGGAATAAAACTAATAATATTTTATTTTAATGCGCGGTGGTAATAGTTTAAATAACTAGATGGATTTCAGAGGGTCTAACGACACTTACCAGTGTACGATAATTCAATAAACAAATCTAAATACAAAATTTAGATAAATTTGGAATGAATATCTACACTGAGGATGAATTTTTCGAGACAAAACGTCTGAATCTGGTTAGGGCGGAGGCAGTACAGTATTGGGGGTAATGAAGGCTTGCAAAAAATGTAATAAAATTTCAAGGGTCGTATTTAAAAAAATAAAGTTGATGATGGTCCTGGAGAAACGAAACGTTACATATAAAAATTGATTATGCCATTCGATAGAGGGCAAAAAGTGGTCATGAGAAAGTGTTCTTCGTTTTTCAATATCTCCTCAAACAAGGCTGAAATTAACCTAAAACGGATTTCCAAACTTTCGTTTTTTTTTCAAATATTTTGAAAACTAATCATGTTAGCCTTGATTTTTTAGACGCATATTGTTGGTCCCCTGATTACGCAACTTTGCCCTCATTTAAACTACTTCATAGCTCTTACCGTTTCCGAGATCCCTGTAGGGAGAAGCGAATTTGTAACAGCGTGTATAAAATGATTATAATAAAAAGAGCGCATAAACATTACGGTCGTCACTTTAATGAAATTCACGTCTTGATTTAAATCAAGTATGGTGAATATTGCAGGGCTTCCGGTAGTTGCGCCGAGAAACGCGATTAGCTAAAGATAACGGGCCGATAGGTATAAGAGTTTTCTCTATATTTTCCTTTCTCTATGTATATGGTTTTATGGTGGTAAATGTTTCAGTAAATTTGAGTTTTGTCCTGTATAATATCACAAAAGATTACAGTTTAGAAAAATATTTTCGACTTATGTTCTTTATGATGAAAATCGCGTCTGTAGATATAAAGAAAGATATAAAGACGCACACCTGAATTTACCTGTTGAAAATCCAAAAACGATGTTTCAAAAATAAATTCAATTTCTTAGAAATAGGTGACTTTTTGTCACCTCAAAAAATAATAAAAACACGGCATTTAATTTTCTACAATGAAATGAATGAAATAATAAAATAATAATGAATTATATTCGAAAAATGTTGGCAGACTGAGATATGAAGTGAAGATATGAAGATGAATAAAAATTCATTGAAATATATTTCATACGGTACTCCATCGTTGAAATTCTTCAAAATCTTCCAAGGTGCAATTTTTCAATGCACAAGTTTCAGCTTTATCAAGGTCATAAAGAAGGATGGTTGCGAAAGCATTTAGTTAAAAAATGCTTTGTTGGCAAAATACGAAAATTAAAATTCGTTATAATCTCATTGCTTTTATAATTAAAAATGTGCAAGAGTATTGTAAATCTGTATTTGATTGTATATTATTTATTGATAAAACCTCCTGATTAATAATTTAATTTAATAGAAGTTATATGAGTGCATTTAGATCTTAACGCACAATGGAAAATTAAAAAAAAAACGTTTTTTATGTTACTGAATAACATACTGAATTCAGTGACATAAAAAAGGATTTTTTTCAAATTAATTAATTAATTAATGCCTAGAATTCTAAAATAGAAAATAATAAATGTGTAAAAATTTATTTAACTTTTAGTTGGGACGTTTTTTAAATTTAACATCTCTAGTTCATCTTCAGTGAGACTGACAAAAAATGTAGTGATTTATTAAGAAAAACCGTTTTTAATAATATTTTTTAATCTGAAACGGTCAGACTTGCAATAAAAACGGAAGAGTGGTTTTTGTTATAAAATGTTTTTGAAAAAAAAATAGTTGTAGGTTCTTAGTGGTTTATCAATTTATTTCCTTTTTTAAAAAGGCACTCGCCACTCCTCTCCTCTCTCTCCTCCTTTTTAAAACACTGATAAATCTGAAAAATTTAAAAGCCTACATTTACTGTCAAAAATATTTCGTGATATTTCAACATTATTCGTTTAGAATGTAACCAAGAAAAATACTTTTTTAAAGAAATCGAACATCCCGTTTCCCAAAAAGTAAATTTTATTCGAATATAGCATGCATAACAAATTATTATTAATTTTTGATAAACCGGTTACTGTTCCTAATGTTGAATAAACTGTGACAGTGTAACTAAATGCAAATTTCAATTTAAAAATAAATAATTGCCTAAGACATATACAAAGCACGACAAAAATTAATAACATGTAAATATGTAAAAGAGATACACCAAATTCGAACGTAATTTTTTCCAGTATTTCTCCAATTTCTACTCATTTACAGCCATTTCTGCTTCAAATTAAATCTTTAGGTAACTCACCGATTCCTTTACACTGCTTCACTTGAGTGGCTGAGCAGTAAGCGGCTAAACCAAGTAAAACAAGGAAAACCTTCATGTTCGGATCAGTAGCAGCGATACAGAACCACAACACTTTCAAAATAGTCTGGTAGTACTCGTTACTCAGCAGGTAACCGACTAATCCCCAGACCACTAGAGCACCACTCGGCTAACTCTCTCTTCAGGAATGTATTTAAATACTCTCCCGTCCTCTTCTTCACCTGGTCGATTCTTGTGTTCGTCAGTAAGGACTTCCGACTAGGTGTTAATTGGTATTCATTAAGTAAAGTGGAACTAGTGACGCGTGGAATCAGCAATTGCTCGATGTATGGAGTTGACAAGTTCATTAGGAAAATCGCTTATATGCAATACCGATAAAGGAAATATACAATAACTATTTACTTTGAACGAACTTAAATGTAGTTAAAATGGAATATAAAAATCGTACGATATTTCCAATGTCAAAAATGCAGAACAGTTTAAGCCAATATTTTCCACTTTCAAAATTGATGTTTAGGAATTGGTATGTTTTTTTTAGAAAATGGAGGTTTCTTTGGGCATTGAATAATTATTTTTTCCGAAAAAGTGGCAGTAATTCAGATAAGTTTGTAGGCCACCATTCCACCACTTTTGTGGGTTCTGATGGAAATCATATTAAATATGAAAAAAAATTATTGAAATATAAAAATTTCAATACTTGCAACATCATTTGCAAATTATAGTAATATAAAACTGTATCCGCCACCCTGAAGTTTTAAATTAACTACTTTGAAAATTAGTTTTGACTTTATTTACAAAATTAAAAAATTTACATAATTCACCCATTTTGGCTTTCCATTTGTGTACAGGGTTTACACAAGTAAATTCAAAAATTAATTCAATAAAAATAACAGAACAACACTTTTTGAAAAAGTTAATATTAACTTTGTTACATAACCTCGAAATTATTATTTTTTATTTTTTATTAATCTTCTGCTATAACTTCTGCTGGTAGAGTTATTATTGGTAGACAAATGTACCTGCGAAAGAAAAAATCATCAAACTTCTGAAACTCCAAATGATTCAAATGTACTGTCTAGAAAATGACAACTTTTTATGTACAATTTTTCAAATACTGATTAACAAGATAATAACGATTATTAAAATAATCTTTCTAAAATGCCATGTTTCCAGTTTCAAGTCAATAAAATCAACTGTTTCATAGAAAAAACATATTTACTTAATGATTTGGAATATTTTCCGACCAGGTTTTATAATCAAATTCGAATACATTATTATTATATTTATTAAATTCGCAATTTTTATAAGTTACTCCATGCAACTAAAAATATTTTGACAGATTTAATACAAAATTCTCCCTAGTGCAGTTTATACTGCAAAATAAGTACATTTTAATCTTTTAGAATTTCTTGAAAAATTTATATGTGTATCTTCTTCAAAAATTATATGTTACCGACTTTGAACAAGAATATTTTTTGGAAGATTTTTCAATAATCCACAGCTGTTTAATTAAAAAATAATCAAATAAAAAATTTCTACCTTTTATCTAATAATACTAAATATCAATAATACAGGGTGTAAGAAGTTTGACTGTCATTACTTCAGCATGAGTAATCATAAATGAACAAAAAAGTTGTATATTACAGGGGCGTAAGATTAACAGTTTTCAAAATACAGCGAGTACTAATATTGGGGAGTTTCATCACGTGACAACAGCGCTTAACCTGCTGATACGCACCAAGTGTACACGCGACAGACTTGTCCTACGGAAAAAATGTAAACAGCTATTATTGTGAAACATTTATTAAATTTCAAGACAATTGTTTTCCAGTTTTTAAAAAAAATAAAATGTATTGATTTTGTACGAAGATGGTGCTTAAATTTTAGCTCGAATTTTAGTAATTATAAATCTCTTAAAACAGGAACTTAACTTTTAATCAAATTACGTATTTGAAAAATATGTAATTGAAGTACCCAAAGAATCACGTCGTCTAAATAATCATACGTATAAAAAATAAGCAAAATTCAGTACAAAACAAACTACAACATATGCTCGAAATGTCCACCACCATTTTCCATGCACACACGACACCTTCGAATCCAATTTTATATTTATTACAACGCTACCTATTTTTTAGAATTAAGCATAAAGAAGTTCAAAAAAGTGGTAAACAGTGTATTTTATGGTATTCTATGCACGCAGTTATGTTAATATTCCTTAATTAATGGAACTTTTGTACATCAAGTTGGAGATTTTGATCATTTTTTCTCGGAAATGGTTGAGCTTAGGACCTATGTCCAGGTTTTTTTTGTTTATTTTAATGTATTCCATCGTCTGTTAAGGCAGTCAAATTTCTAACACCCTATATGTACACCAAATTTGAAAATAATTGCCCTCCTGGAAAAAAAAAGTTACACAAAATACACAAAATATAGAAAAAATAACATCAAAATTATGTAACTCCCTTAATATTTTTCGAAAGTATGGTACAAGAAATTGTTCCATTATTTATGTGAATTGAATCCTCCTAAATTTTGTGTACCTACTTATTTTAGAAAAGCTCTGTAAAAGAGATGATTAAATTGATCTAATCATATACAGTTAACATCTGTATCATGGATCTTTTGCATATTGTGTAATCAACATGTTAGAGGTCACTTTGAATTGTAAATTAACTGTATTATGTAAGTATTTCTACTTTTTTCATTGCAATTATTTTATTTCATGTCAGTGATGATTTAGTTGCAAAAAAATAAGAACAGGTGATTAAAAATTGTTTACAACAAACATATAAAATAAAAAAAAATACAAAAAAAAACTGCAATAGATTCTGAAATCATACAATATGGCATTGAAAACAACACAGGTAGTATTAAATTTCTGTAGATATCAGCTGCTCTGCAAAGTTTTGAAATTTTAAAAATTGGAATTAATGATCCGTACTAAATAAAATATATTCTGTGAACAAATTGAAGAATTTAATTCATTTTAGAAAAAAATCCCAAAAAATTAGTAGTACTTTATCGTTTTGATTCATAAAAATATTTTGAGCAATATGAGATCATACATCCTTTCCTGTTACTCATTAAATTTCATATCAGTCTGTCTACATAAGCTGCGGTTTATTAAAATTACGTACCATAAATAATATTAAACTGTAACGGCAAAGAAGCACCCATTTATTAACTAACATTTGAGTTACAGGTAATCTTCTTCAGTGACTAAAAGGGCGAAACTAGATGTTCTGCTACAGACAACAGAGGCGGAAAGATACATCTAAATCACGGTAAACAAAAATGAGCAAGATTTTTTCTAATATTAATATTAAATAGTAGGACAATTTCTAAAAGATTGCAAATGAAATACATCTTCGATTTTCTATTTCTCTATATCTGAGGACATACCTTCCCATGAGGCGAGGTTGTGCGAGCATACGCAGTTGCAAATCAATTTGCCATGTGATTAAACAAGACGAATTTCACGCTAGCTGTAGTGTAGTCAAAGCAGAATACTGACTGGTTGAATTGTGAGCGAGACACTCGTCAATTCTCGAGCCGTGGGAAGATGCCTTAACGTATTTGCTCCATCATTCGTCAATTAGACAACAACCTTCTAAATTTTAAATCTTTACCTTTCTGATTCTGTAAAAACAATTTTTTTTCAAAGGATTCATGTAAGTAGTGATTTAAAATATTCATTTTATTAGTAGCTCCCGTATATTTAGTTTGATGGTGAAATAGAGGTCAAACAGTGTTTTTGTATTAATCATATTTAGACATACCACTTTTATACCACTTTTAATTATTCATTTAGATAATTATTATTTACTAATAGTGTATTAGATGAATTATGACAGGTAATGGTATATTTATAGTAAAAATACGAGAACTAATAACGAAATATATATTTTTTAGAGAAATTTTGTAGTTATTTTAAATATTGTCATCAGAAAACTGAAACTTCCTAAAAGTTTTGTGTTTTATATACAATTTTGTTACATTAATAATTATTAATCCCATTTTTAAGGAGGTTACGTGAAAAAGCAATACTTAGAATAAGTCAAATGTAGACATGGTAATGTATGTTGATCATGTTTACTACTGCGCATTGGTCTTTGTCAAATGTGATGTTAGGTAATTATTTTTTAACAGTTTCAATATATCTGGTATGTGTTTTTCTATTAATAATATTTACACGAATCATTTTTCATTTTTATTTTAGAATTATTAGCTACTAGCTCATTACTAGATATTGCTAGTATAATTCAATGCTAATTGGGTCGTGTTCCATGGAATATTATTTCCCACAATATCAAGAGCTAGGAATCTTGTCTATGAGGTTGAATACCTTTTGTACATCGAAGAACATTATTTGATCTTATTTGACAACATTAATAGAACAAATTTTTATTTATTTATTTAATCAGCTTAATACTTTTAAAATAAAGCAAAAATATAAGTACCTCTTCATATTCTGTAATGAATCCGGCGTAATGATAATAAATACAGAGGTCAACAACATAACCTAGGCATCAAGGGGACGTTAAAGAAATGAATCATCTGATACGTAGGTTGACGGTAGTTTTTGAATGACAGGTCAATGCCTTTCAAAGCCACGTTATTTGCGTGAATAATAGTATGAATAACCCTCCGAAGAAAGATAAAAACAGCAGTCATGTTCATTTTATTAATGATACTTTAGGTGAAGATTCGATTATCCAACGTGCAGCCAAAACTCTTGGCTACAAGATGTCTTGTCTAAATATGGGTATCCTCCCAAATTAGAGAATACAAACTAGATATGTGTATTTACACAAAAGTGTTTTAAAAAGTTCAGGTTCCTAAACAACAAAAATTTTCCTATTTATTTGATACAATATTTGATATAATAGTTTGTCTCAATGTCTTAAGAGTTTTTTGTTCAAATGAATTAAGTTTGATCCAATTAATTGTTTTACATTTTAATTTCCGCTTTAACTTTTCAGTTAGATACAATTTTCCTTTAATGGAATCCATCTTCGTTTTAATAAATCAGCAACTATTTTACATATTACATGTTGCAGACATATGAGCAGTGTCCATATCTAAAGCACGTAGTTTATTTTTAGACATCAAATCAATCAGTCACAGTAAATCCTCAAAATATTCATATAATATGATATACGTCATATCATTTTTAAAACGTGTTAGATATGGTTCTTGGTC